ATACTCAAGGTCTAAAATTAAAAAACAAACATTTAGGGACCAAAGCAAAAAAAGTCAGGTGAAATATTAAAAAAAATTAATAAATAAATAAAAGCATGCTAACTCAGTAGACGTTAGTCATATAGGCTGCGTTTTTGTAACAGAATTCTAACATGAGAGACTAACGCCAACAAGAAATAGACATATAGAAATTTGGACAAAAAAAGATTCAGGGATCAAAATTAAAAACTCGCTAACTTACAGGGTCTAAAACACTATTTAAGCTTTTTCAAAAACATTTTAGGTCTTGTATACGAAATCAGAGATCGTAAGAAACACGAAAGCAAAATAAAAAAACAAGAGATTGAAAACATCTCAATAAATTAAATCAAGTGAAATAATACATAATATTTACTTAGCACTTGATTGCTTCTAATGCAAGTCAATCACAAGATAGACAAAATTGCTTGAAACAAAGCTATTTCAAAAATTCTTCACATAGATGTTCTAAACAAAATATAATTGAATTCATGATACTTCAAAACATTGATACACCACAAACCTAAGTTTATACATTAAATCTCTATAAGCAAAATCTAACTTATATGACATACAATCAATGCAATAATAAACAAATACAGATGAAGATGATGAACAGTTCTATAATATCTCACAATCACTCAAACAACACAAGATTTTAGTCAATAATTCTGATGAGTGTGAATGAGGAATGCACACACAAGGTTCTCTCAAATTTTTGAATAAAGGGGTTTTAGATTTGATTGTTATCAAGAGCTCGATTAATCATGAATAACACAACAAGAGTAATCAACTCACTCACTCTAATTCACTCACATAATCTTTTTCATCTTTCACAAGGTGAGATATCCATCACAATGTATGATGTATGATGCCTGCTCCATTTTCCGATCAGGAGAAAATTATTAGACCACAGTAAGATTATCATAAATGAAGCAGGGGGACTGATGGTAACCTATTTAGGAGCTGACTCACGAGATACCCTATATGAGATAAAAGCCACTATATGGTGTCATGCTAGGTTTATACTCCTAGAGAGGTCGTATACATAACAGTTATATGCAGTAGAGAAGGCTTGCTGGTGATGATGAACATGTTATGTAACATATACATATTAAAAGTACATTTGTTGTATTTGACTGACACGTCCATTTTTTGTGGACAAGAGTGTCTCGTATATGGACGTAATTTACTTGAGATACTTTGCTAATTTCGTTTGATTTTTTTTTAATATTAAATTTTTTAAAAAAAATGTAATTACTAAATTTGGTGGTTAATTTTTTTATTATGTTTAGAATAATATAATTAAAAACAAACGAGTTTAAATAAAAGATTCTTTTTAAAGGTATATAATAAAGTTTACGTTATCCTTTTTTTTATATACTAGTGTTAATATGGAATCAAAGCACCTGATTTTCTTTAATAAAATATTAATAAAAATAGTCAAAATTTTATTGTTATTTTAAAAAGTTAAGTTATTTAACTAAAAAAAATCACATCGACTACATTATTTCGAATACTGAGCGGAAAAAAATTATATATAAATTAGTAGGATATCTGTGCGTTCGCACGGGTACTACCGTATGACGCACATTTGAACTCAAAAATAAACTTAAATCAAAATAAAATATTTAATAATAATTAGTATATTATATATAAGTATAAATAAATTTAAAATATAATAATAAAAAAATTGAAGAATTAATATTGAGAAAAAAATAGAAATTAAAAAGAAATAAAACTAATTTTGAAATAATAATTTATTGCTGATAAAATTCCACGTAGAAGTGTTCCAAATCCCACATAGTAATTTAATATTCTAGTTAATATTTAATATTTTGATCGCATACTTCATATTTATGTTAATACTAAATATTTTAACTAGTAATTTTATTTTATCCTTAATATTGAATATTTTGATCAATAATTTCATTTTTCCGTTAATATTTAATAGTTTGATCAATAACGTCATGTTCCCGTTAAAATATTCAATATTTTAATTAGTAAATTCATGTTTTTGTTATTATTCAATATTTTTATGAGTAACTTCATGTTTCCGTTAATACTTAATATTTTGATCAGTAATTTAATATTCTCTTTAATATTATTTTGATGAGTAACTTAATATTCGCGTAAATATTCAACATTTTAATCAGTATCTCCATGTTCTTGTTAAGATTCAATATTTTGATAAGTAACTTCTTATTTCCGTTAAGATTCAATATTTTGATCGATAATTTCATATTTCCGTTAACATTCAATATTTTGATTAGTAATTTCATGTTCCTGTTAATATTCAATATTTGATCAGTAATTTAATATTCTCGTTAATATTCAATATTTTGTCAGTAATTTCATGTTCTCGTTATTATTCAATATTTTGATCAGGAACTTTATATTTCTGTTAATATTCAATTTTTTTATCAATTTTTTTCAGTAACTTCATGTTTCCGTTAATAATCAATATTTTTATCAGTAACTTCATGTATTCGTTAATATTCAACTCAATTGATATGATTAATTGGAGAAATAGAAATAATATATTATAAAATCATAATTAAAATTAAAAGATTCTACCAAATTAATTAAAAATTTATTATGAAAAGAAATAAAAGAAAGACAAAATTATTTAACCAATAAAATTGATTATTTTTAAAATGATAATAAATTTGTGTATACAATTTATATATAAAAATATTTAAAACAATAATATATTTTTTTGAAAATAAATATTTATTTTATTTTTGTATTATTTACAAAAATATTGATCACTTATTTGTGATGCTGTGGAAAAAACTTTATATTACATAGACAGTACAAAAACACATTTATTTAGTTGATAGCTAACTTTTTCTCATCCATTGTCTTAATGATGAATATTCTGCTTAATACCATAGTAACAATTATGTAGCTTGAAATATAAATTTTTTAGTCATGTCAAAAAGTTGTTGAAGTGTGCTAGGTTTTGATAATAGTCTGAAAAAATTCATTGGCCTTTAGAAGTATAATTAAAAATTTGATAAGTATTTAAACTTTGAGATATTTTTTATCAATGAGCCTTACTAAGTGTATTAATCTAGAGAGCCAAAACTCCAACACATTCATCAAACTTCCAGGAAAATGTGTTTTACATCATTTCCAGTTCTTGTTCTTTCATATGATAATATTAATTTAGATCATTGTGTCATTCAATTAACGTCATTTCATCAAAATGTATATGTCATAAAAATAGTATATGTTCTAATTCATCAAACAGTAGCCTTTTTTAGGTTTCAACTCTTTATTCATCCATTTTATTATTTCACCGTATGTTCTTATTCTTGATTGATTTTCAACATGATTTGTTCTTATTCTTAATTCATGAAGCCTTTTAAAAATGAAGAGAAATTATGAAAGTAAAAGAGATGGACGTTATGGAGAAATATAATGGTTGCTATATATCATATCCTAAGAATAACTAAAATTTGGTTGTGAAACGTTCTGCATGATGGCAATGAACTATAAAACCACAACATCCCTTCCAGTACCACTATACCCCACTGTCACTGATCTTTGTATCTTTCTAGATTACCATAGATTCTTATGGTTAAAGAAAAAATGGTGTATTATCTTTCTCTCTTTCCAGTACCACTATACCCCACTGTCATTGGAAGGGAAGTATACATGAGGCGGACCATATGCTTCGGTAGGAACATCAGCGCGAGAATGTATTGACCTGTGAACAGATGTATGTATTAGTGCAGTCTGGTCCCCTGTAGGCATTATGTTAGTTATCGAGTGACCTAAGAGCTAAGCATGAAGGGCTGGAAGTGTCTCAGGGGAAACATGGCCAGAAGCAACCAAAGTTTCTAACTCATATATCTTCCAGTAGCAGCTAGCTCGAATTTTATAGTCCCAGAAACTATGTTTAGCATCCCATTCTGTTGTTGTGCCCCTCCACTTAATCGCTTCAAATGAAGTCTAAATTTTTTCCAATTGATATGTCAATTCACAATGGTAATTGTTAACTACAATTAGGCACCGCACTACAAAACATACGTTTATTAATCTACAAGCTAATGCCTCTGCTTGCAATAATCGTCAAAAAAGAGGTCATGTGCATCTTAAGTTATTGTAAGTAAAAAAATGAAAACGGTTCTCAAGGAAGGTTGTAAGCAATGGCTTCACAAACTGGACTAATACATGCAAATGGTTGGCAACATTTTCTCTCGTCAAACCAGTGACATTCATTAACTCAAGTATTCTCTTAGGAACAACCTCTAAAACACAAGTATAAGAAACAACTGATAAACAACATACGCTTAAAATGATTTATGATTACTACATTCCTAAGACATCTCTAGTCATTGTATACAAAAGCAATAGAAATAGATACAAAAAAGTTGAAAATTCTTACTGTCAAGACCTAGTTGATTCACAACACTAACAAATTGTTTATGCAGTTCTACCGACAACACAACACGAGCCTTCTTAGATGTAGATGGATCATCATTCTCCAATTCTAGCACCACCACTCTGTCCCAACTGAGGATTCTGGTACTGTGATTGCAATCCCGACTGGTTTCCATATCCCATAGCAGCCTGATTACCATACGCAGCAGGAAGTGGTCAAGAGAACCATTGCATACTTTCTCATATACAATCATCAATTGACTTTTATCTGTACACACTACTAAGATAACTTGATAGTGCTAATCCATAGAAAAAGTGATCCTGCAAGACTTCTCATGTTCTCAGGAAACTGTTTGTATTAAAATTCAACTTGTCCTACCAAAGTAAATGCATCAGAGAATCCAGCTAGTGTAAACTGAGGAATCAACCACATTGCAGACATCAAAGAAATTGCGCCTGTTCTCAGTTCAAATAATATTGCAATGAACTTATGTACCTTTGTCTTCTCTATGACCTGAACTTTAGCACCTACAATTTCATGCATAATTAATTAATAACAATTGAAACACCTCTCGTTCAAGACCGGATGTTCACAAATATTGCTCAACAACATTAGGCTGAACACAACAGAATTTGGTCTTCCTATCCTTGTCTGCTCTGATTACCCATTTTACTTCTGCCACTACACAATTGTCAAAAGTGCAATACAAATATTAGGCCAATGACTAAAATTGTACTCTACAATGAAATAGAATACAAATAAATGAGCACAAACCTGCAACAATACTTAAGATAATAGAATTTGGAACATTGATAGGTTCGTTTCCGAGGAAAAGTATATACATAAGGAAAACAATAGTACCCTGCAAAAAGTACAAGTGGGAAGTCATGTGGAATCTCCAATTTCTTTTAGTAGAATGAGCAAAAGATTACCAAAAGGTAACAACCTGTTTGAATAGTGTTTTCAAATTCTATTTTCAAAAGTCTTTTACAAAACTGGCTCATGTCTTATCATTTTAAAAGTTAAAAAATCATAATTGCTAATGCATGTTAGTTAAATAATCATTGTAAAGAATTATTTAACAACCCTAATGCTTAAAATAAAAAGCTTCATTATAACAGCATTTATAACATAAAATAGACTAAATACTAGGTTCTATTCTTTATTTTTATTAGAAAAGAAGAATGGAGAAGAAGAGAGTATTCATCTGTAACAGAATTCTGTTATTCTGTTTTTCTGATTTTTCAGTTAGTTACAAAAAGGCTCCTTGATGCTTTATATACAGCATCAAGGGTAACCTGCTATTACAGGTTAGGGCATACTGTTAACTTACAGTTGTCAGTCAAGGAAATAACAGTAAAGCTACTTATACATTTCCTGCTTCAGATCCAGATGACAGACTTCAATTGTAGAGGATTGAGGAGAATGATTTAAATTGCAATTTGGATTCCTTAATTTGAATATTTGCTATTAATTGCTAATCTCCATCTACTGAAATTTCTCCCTCTTTTTTTGTGGACTTTGTTTTCCGACCACCTGTAGGGTTGATCATTAAAGTGTGAAAATGATTATCTTGTGAATAATATGATAGCTATTCAATATATGGTTTATGGTATTTTAGGTTTCTGTATTTGATGTTTTGAAGCTAGGCATGTTTGCATTTTGTTTATCATTTTGACAGAAGTATTTCTCCCCTTCCCGAAACATTTTCCAGTTCACGTGGTTGTTAGTTGTATTCACTGTATAACTATAAATTGATATACTATAGCACTCTTTATTATTAATTATGTTCAACTGAGAAATGAATATTACTAACATCAGCTCTTTCAGAGAAACCATATGATGCAGTTCGACAGTTTGTACCAAGTTTACCGATTGCCATGCCAAAGAGACATCTTGTGAATTATTAGAGCTGTCACATGATCATCACGTAACTGTAACAACAGAGGGATCTTAGATTTGTTTGTCAATATATGCAAGGCTGAACTCAGATCATGGTGCAAAGATCCAAACTGCTTCTTGTGGCCATCCATATTGGTTTTCATGCTGGGGAGGTATTACTTGTGTTGTATATTTCACTCATTTGACATTACCTTCTTGAAGTTGATATTTTCATATTGTTTATAAAGTTTTTTGCTTCAATCCTCTCCTTTGTACATTGTTCTATTCTTAAGTATATAAATTTGAAGACAAACATATAGTTCTTGATCTTTTCTATGTTCTTTATGCAATATCGAGAACTACTATACGAGTTTTATTCATGAGTTATACAAACTTCAATGAAAAATAGATATTAGAAACCGGTTCATCATGGACCAAAACTCATGGATCAAAGTATGTTCTTCAAAATTATTGAATGTATAAGTAGCTGTATAAGTAGCTTTACTGTTATTCCCTTGACTGGCAACTATAAGTTAACAAAAAGGGTAACCTGCTATTACAGGTTAGGGCATACTGTTAACTTACAGTTGTCAGTCAAGGGAATGACAGTAAAGCTACTTATACAGCTACTTATACGCCTGTCATCTGGATCTGAAGCCCAATCAGCATCACAGTAGACATGAAGAGAGGGAACAGCCTGAGGGGAAAGAGGAGTGAGAGATAAACCATGATGTAGAGTGCCTTTCAAATATCTGAGAATCCTTTTGACAGCTTGCCAGTGAGAATCAAGAGGATGTGACATAAACTGACATACTTTGTTAACAGCATAGGTCAAATCTGGTCTGGTGATGGTGGCATACTGCAAGGCACCAACCACAGACCTGTACAGAAAAGGATCAGAAAAGGCTGCAGACCCAGTTTTGGTGAGTTTGCAGGTGGACTGCATGGGAGTGCTGACAGAGCAAGCTTCCAACATGTTGGTTTTCTGCAGCAAATCTTTGAGATACTTAGTTTGGGTGAGGAGCATAAAGCCATTAGCTGACTGCTTAACCTCAATGCCCAGACAATAGTCAAGATCCCCAAGGTGCTTGAGAGAGAAAACAGAGTTAAGCTTTTGAATGACCTCTTGGAGAAGAGTAGTAGAGCTACCTGTGAGGATAATATCATCCACATAAACAAGTAGATAAAGGGAGTGTCTTTTGGAGAAGTAGGTGAAGAGAGAGGGATCACACTTGCTGGCTTTAAAATTGAGCTTGAGAAGAGTTGTTTGCAGTCTCTCAAACCACTGCCTTGGAGCCTGTTTCAGGCCATACAAAGCCTTATTGAGTTTACACACCAGAGAAGAGTCAGGGTGAACAAACCCTGGAGGCTGTTCCATGTAAACTTCTTCAGTAAGGAGACCATTAAGGAAGGCATTATTTACATCCAACTGCTGAATAGACCACCTGTGGGTAATGGCAATGGTGAGAATAACCCTGATAGTAATAGGCTTTACAACAGGGGAAAAGGTTTCAGTAAAGTCCAGCCCATGCCTCTGATGGAAACCTTTGGCTACCAATCTGGCCTTGTATCTGTTGATGGTGCCATCAAGATTTTCTTTGAGCCTGAACACCCACTTGCAGCCAATAACATTTTTGTGAGGAGGTAAAGGCACAAGGGACCATGTGGCATTTTTCTGTAAGGCATCAAATTCATCTTGCATGGCTCCCTTCCAATGCACATCAGCAATGGCCTGTTTAACAGATTTAGGCTCAGAGTGAGTGAGAAGCACCCTAGGATCCAGTCTAGGCTGAGAAAAGCCAGACTTGGCCCTAGTAATCATAGGATGAGAGTTTTGAGGGATAACAGGCACTGGAATAGCATTAGGGGGAACAGAAGGTGCAGAAGCAGTGTCTGAAGATGAGCTGAATGAGGAGTCAGCAGGACTAGAGAAAGATGAAAGTGGCCATGGGGAGTTGCTGGCAGTAATTGGTGAAGAAGTTGCAGAACTACCAGCTGAGGATGAATCCTTAGGGCTAGGAGGGACAAAAATGGGAGCAGGAACGGAGGAGGTAGTGGGAGAGGCAGGAAGAGGAACATTTGAAGAATTAGGGATAGGAGATTGTAAGGAAATGATGTGAGGAGTAAGAGCACTCAAAAGAGGACTAGAGTGATGGGGTGCCAAGGATGTACTGGGGCTGGAAGTATCACTGATATCACTAGGTCTGGAAAATAAGTCTAGATAAGGAAACCTAGACTCATTAAAGAGAACATCCTTGGAGATGTATAACCTGCCAGTAGGAGCCAGACACCTATAGCCTTTGTGAGAGGTAGAATATCCAAGAAAGAGGCATTCTTGAGATCTGAAATTAAGTTTCTGAGAAAGATAAGGTCTCAAGAGAGGAAAACAAGCACACCCAAAAACTTTCAGAAACTTGTAATCAGGTTGCTGATGAAAGAGAAGAGTGTAAGGAACTTCAAAGTGAATGGAAGCAGACGGCAGCCTGTTAATAAGATATACAGCAGTGGAGAAAGCATAGTCCCAATATGTAAGGGGAAGGGAAGCATGACTAAGCAAAGTAAGCCCTATGTCCACTATGTGCCTGTGTTTTCTTTCAATGACACCATTCTGATGGTGTGTGTGTGGACAGATAAGACGATGATGAATGTCCTAACCTAAGATGCCACATGTAAGGCAAGCTATTAGAACAAGATACAGTATTAGCACTAGGTGCAGCATTATTGGAAGAGAAATTAGAAGAATGCAGTAGGGACTTAGCAGGTTGGGACACATCAACAGAAGGAAACTCATAGAGTCCATCAGCTCCTACATGACCTTCAAGAAGAGTGGCATTAGACACCTGACATTTAACAAGGCACTTGTCAGCTGAGAATAAAAAATACACATGGTTATCCTTAGAAAACTGACTGACACTAAGCAGATTCTTAGTGATAGCAGGAACATGAAGTAAGTTCTTGAGAGTGAGGTGTGTGGCAGGATGAAAAGGGGAAGGGAAAGAGCTTGAGCCAGCAGACTGAATAGTCAAACCTTGTCCATTACCAATGTAAATTTGACCATGCATTCAAAGGGAGTCACATGTTGTAAGTTCTATGCATCACTAGTGACATGGTATGAGGCGCCAGAATCAGGAAACCAGGAGCCAGATGGAGATGGAGAAACATTAGCCACAAAGGTGCTTGGAGGTGGCGTAACAGCAGAAGAGTAAGAAGGCACGGCAGGAGGCCTGGTCCACACATAAGGAGAGGCTTGAGAAGGTGCCTGTGTGTAGTAGGCATGAGCACCCTGCCAAGAAGGTTGCACATAGTTTGCACCAGCAGCTTGAAACTGATAGTTGAACCTATGCCAGCACTGCAGGGCAGAATGACCAGGTTTGGAGCAGACTTGGCACTGGACATTAGAATTGGAGAATCTGCCACCTCTGCTACGGCCAAATCTACCACCACGATGACCTTTTCCCCCTCTAAAAGGTTGATAATCCTGCACTTGATTAGGCTAACCACTGTGAGCAGAGGAAGAATCAATGACAGGAGTTGGAGATTCATTTGTTGTTGATGGTTGAGCCACAGCATGCGTTAGGTTGAGAGAAACCAGTTCTGGAATTGGCTGCTTCTTGAACTTGTTCAGGCGCAGTTCATGAGCCACCAGAAGAATTTCAACCTCATCAATGTCCATTACTCCAAATTTGCTTTTAACAACAGACACAACTGGAGCAAATTCAGCTGGTAAGCCCTCAAGAATTACATCAATATGATGTGACACTGGAATAGGATCACCAATGGATGCAAGCGCATCAACAATGGTACGAATCTTCAATAAGTAGTCTTGAACAGAAAGAGTATCCAGTGTGAGCGCACGCAATTCAACACGCAGTTGGCGTGCCCTAGCACGAGTCTGTTTCTGAAAATAGCTGAAGAGACGATCCCACAGTTCATGAGAATGGTGACAGCCAAGCACGCGTGAGAGAATTTCACTGGAAAGCGTTGATTGAAGCCAGGACAGCAGCATTTGGTCCTTCTGAATCCAGCGAGAGTACGCTGAATTGATAGAGCCAGAACGACGAGCAGCATCATCAATGAATTTTGCTAGAACACGAGTGCAAACTACCAGATCAGTGAGATCGTGCGCGTTAATGTAAGGTTCTACCTGTTGTCGCCAGAGATGGAAGTTCTTTTCATTCAGCTTCTGCGCAATCTTGAGCGAGAAGTGCAGGCGGCGAGAATCCTCCATTACCGGCGCCGGAGACGGCGTTTGTTCAGCCGAACTAGGCGAGACCATAGCGGAAGGCGGAGGCGATTGCGAAGAAGGCGAAGCCATGGATCGACTCGGCAGTCTGATACCATATTAGAAAAGAAGAATGGAGAAGAAGAGAGTATTCATCTGTAACAGAATTCTGTTATTCTGTTTTTCTGATTTTTCAGTTAGTTACAAAAAGGCTCCTTGATGCTTTATATACAGCATCAAGGGTAACCTGCTATTACAGGTTAGGGCATATTGTTAACTTTATGTTGTCAGTCATGGGAATAACAGTAAAGCTACTTATACAGCTACTTATACATTCAATAATTTTGAAGAACATACTTTGATCCATGAGTTTTGGTCCATGATGAACCAGATTCTAATATCTATTTTCCATCGAAGTTTGTATAACTCATGAATAAAACTCGTATAGTAGTTCTCAATATTGCATAAAGAACTTAGAAAAGATCAAGAACTATATGTTTGTCTTCAAATTTATATACTTAAGAATAGAACAATGTACAAAGGAGAGGATTGAAGCAAAAAACTTTATAAACAATATGAAAATATCAACTTCAAGAAGGTAATGTCAAATGAGTGAAATATACAACACAAGTAATACCTCCCCAGCACGAAAACCAATATGCCACAAGAAGCAGTTTGGATCTTTGCACCATGATATGAGTTCAGCCTTGCATATATTGACAAACAAATCTAAGATCCCTCTGTTGTTACAGTTACGTGATGATCATGTGACAGCTCTAATAATTCATAAGATGTCTCTTTGGCATGGCAATCGGTAAACTTGGTACAAACTGTCAAACTGCATCATATGGTTTCTCTGAAAGAGCTGGTGTTAGTAATATTCATTTCTCAGTTGAACATAATTAATAATAAAAAGTGCTATAGTATATCAATTTATAGTTATACAGTGAATACAACTAACAACCACGAGAACTGGAAAATGTTTCGGGAAGGGGAGAAATACTTCTGTCAAAATGATAAACAAAATGCAAACATGCCTAGCTTCAAAACATGAAATACAGAAAACTAAAATACCATAAATCATATATTGAATAGCTATCATATTATTCACAAGATAATCATTTTCACACTTTAATGATCAATCCTCCTACAGGTAATCGGAAAACAAAGTCCACAAAAAAAGAGGGAGAAATTTCAGTAGATGGAGATTAGCAATTAATAGCAAATATTCAAATTAAGGAATCCAAATTGTAATTTAAATCATTCTCCTCAATCCTCTACAATTTAAGCAGGAAATGTATCCTAAATTCTGAGAAAAAGGTCTTATTAGCATAGGTGAGAAAAATTTAGAAACTAAAAAAAAACTCCTGCATATCATTTCTAATTTCATGCTCTCAATATAGCTGCAAGCAACTACCAAACATATTTGCAGCTAAAACTGATCCTATCTTAGGAGATGCATTTCTTAACACTCTACATGATCTTATGATGTTATTAAATTTCATCCTTTAAACTTCACCTTAAGAAAATTATTAAATTCAGCCTGTTTTTCTGAAGCTTTGGTTGCCCAAGCCTCCCGAAACATTCGCCCAAGAACAAATACACCAACAACATAATTTGAAGGTATGATACATACGCGCTACCACTGATTGAGCTCGACTTCGCCATTTCTTTTCAGGTAATTTGAAGCTTCTGATTTACCGTTTTCGTATGCGATGAATAGTTATTATGCAATTTGTAACTGGAGTAGCAGGCTACAAAATTTAAAAATTAAGTCAGACACATTATCAGAATCAAAATTCATTACACCATCTCATGTTCACATTCGTGTTCAAATCACTTCAAATTGATAGGTGAGAAATGAGATTCATAGAATTCATTTGGTAAATCTGTTAAACACAGTATAGCAATTCAAACCCTAACTCCATCAAATCCTAACTCCAACGCTACATTAAAAAAATAACAATTCAATTGGAAAACTGAGTTCAAATATTTGCTTAACAATAAAATCTACAAAAGAATAATGTGAACAAAGAAGAGACGGAGGGAAGAGACCTTAGAGCCACGGTAATTAATGACGAATTTGTCGGTTCCTTCCTGGAGAACAACACGAGCGACAACAATTTACCGGCGATCGATGCTGAATATAGTTTAAGCGGCGAATCCACTAGGAAGTCTTGATTTAACGTACGTCTTGAGGTCAGCGACTTTCGATTCAACAGGAGGTGCGAGTGATGTTGCAGATACGGTTAGGGAGGGGAGTTTGGAAGAGCGATAGAGGGAGAAGATTCTGGAAAGAGAAAGAGTGGTTGGTTTGCGAGAGATATTGGAAGAAAAGGAAAGTGAAGAGAGGAAAGATAAAGAAGCTGCCATGATTTTCACTTCTGCAACTATGAATGGGTAATGAATGAAGTCTTCATGGAGTAGTGTGAGAGGTGGTAACTGCATATTATAACCGTGCTGACTAAATTAAATTAATGGGAAAAATATTGAAAGTGGATCAAGGATTTGAGAAAACGAAAAATTTGGGAAAATAAAATTTGCTCAACTCTGATGAAACCACGTGTTGTGATTTTGGAACAAAATGACAAAACAGAATTTTTGGGTAGATTCACTTTTCTTATATTATAGATGTTTATATTTATAATAAAGATTCAATGTTTTTTATAACAAAATAAAAATTAATATTTTAAAACATTAAATTTATACTTGTTACCAAATTAAACGTATACTTACAATAAAAGTATAAATATAAAAATAAAACAATAATTTTAATTTGAGAGTTTTTTAATTATATGAAAACATCAGAGAAAACATGTCATTAAAATCCTCAAGACCTAACCTTACACATATGGTAGAAATTGTAAGTAGATTCATCAACAGGTCTAAGACATCCCACCTAGAAGTAGCAAAGAGAATTAAGAGGTACATTATAAGTATAATTGATAGTGGATTTTTTACTAGTGTATGAAGGCATGATATGAAAGTTGGCTGGCTACCCAAATTTAAACTTATGTGGTGATTAAGATGATAGAAAATCCACTGCATGATACATGTTCTTGATAGGGAGAGGGAAAAAATCTAGTGGTACACTCCTAATGTGAATATGTTAACAATTTGGATAATGAGTTTAATTGAAGAGATTATTAATGATATATGTAAAAAGGTGAGACTAAAGGTAGATAACATCTCTACAACAAACTTGAAAAAAAAAATCTATTTTAGATGAGAGAAGAAAACACATATAAATGAGGTTTCACTATAGCAAGTAAGCAAAAGTTGAAACATTACAAAAGTAAATATTAGGTGGCTAATTTATGAGAATTTACACACTTATACTTAATGATGGTGCTATTAGTCTTAATATCGTTTATTCAATTAATTAAAAAAAACATTTTTTTCTTATAAATAGGAACATAGAGAGTATTATATAATTATGGATAAGAATAATGTAAGAAACACAATTGTATATATATGGTTGGTTTATCATTCGCTGAACATTCTTTCGTGCCATCAAAGCTTTTAAACTTTAAAGCTCTTGATCCCCTCATTCATGTCATACGCTGAACAAGAAAAGAAACAAATTATTTTTCCTCAACCATCTCATTCAAGTTGGATAGATAAAATCTTTCATTATGGAAATTGTTGGTCTTACTAGGGCTGAACATGGGTCAGTTTGGATTGAATTGGGTCTACTATATCAAACCGATACAAACCATGGATGAAATTGTTAAACCCAATTCCGACTTATTTATTCTTCAGTTTAATTGATTTATCAGTTAAAAATGATCGGTTTATTCGGTTAATTGATCCTAAATTTTATTTTAAAAACATGTCATCATATAAAGAAAGGGCTTCAAATGTGAGCCTAGTTTCAAATTTGAGCATTTAAAAATCACAAACAGCCCAATAGTAATAATTTAACTCATAGATTTGAGCCTTCAAATATTACAATTGACCTACTATAATGTTTAAAACTAAACATAAAGAGATTGCAATTCAACCTTAACTATTAACAGATTACAACACACCCTAAAATACTAAAGGTCATCTAGTATTTTTTAAATAAGTTATGTTGCACCAACACATTCACATATCACTAAACAAACATTTTTCTAATGTTTTTGTGATGTCATGTTCATCCATATGACACCATATGTTCATCTTATAAGACCATATGTTAGGCCTATGACAGATATAGAACCTAACTCTGAAAAAAGCTATCTCATATAATACAATAATCTGGACATTTTACAAATACCCGAGGAGCTAACATAATGCAAACAACTACCAATTTTAATTAAAATCAATATACTGAAAGGTAAAATGACTCAGTATATCAAGAAATGCAACTGCACTTGTTTATGGATCAACTTCTTTTATATAAACTCATTATTAATTAAGTAATATTGTTCTGCTTCGATCACAAAATTATACTATAAACACCAGCTAACAATATTTCAACGACCGTTTTATTGAAGAGTTACATATGTTTCTACTTCTTGTTCTCACAGTTGCATCAATGGCACTGAGGTTTACGGTTAATGAGATAAATAATATTAGTTATATCATAAAGAAAAATATAAGCATCATGATGGCTAGATGCCACCCAGTGTGCAACCATGTATCCCTCAATATTGTTTTGTTGTGTAGAGCAAGAGTAGGCGGCATCAAAATTTCCTATATCAAGTAAAAAGAGGAGAGGAGGAGGGAGAGAGAGAAGACGAAAAACTTACTTGGTCGGTGGTGGTTTGTGTTGGCGAGGTTGCATGGTGATGCTAGAGAATGGAAGAAACGGATGAACAATCCTATTGAAGTCAAGTTATCATATCAAATTGATTTAAGATGGATTGAATTGTAGGCTTTTGAAGATAGACTAGATAAACTCAACAATCTTAACTTGAATGTCATTGCAAATGTTGCTAACAAGACTGAATTTATAGGTAACAGATTCAACTCTTGAGGAAATTGGAGAGGATCAAACTTCAAAGGTATGTGAGGAAGAAAATGCAAATGTAGAGTCATAAATTCTAAACCAGATTGTCAGCTATGCACCAAAACTAGTCATACAATTGTAAATTGCTTTTATTGTTCTGATAAGTCCTACATACACGCAAATTAATCAAAATCTAAAAAATGCGAAGCATTTGTATTTCACCCTAAAATAGCCAAGATTATGAAGGGTATTTTGATAGTGGAGCCAACAACCATGTTAAATACCGAATCAACATAATAATATTATAGTATAATAGAATGTTGGCATAGATTGTGCATAGAATAGTATAAAAATTACAATAAAATTCCAAGGTAATTGGCATGGAAAATATCTTCCTGTTAAAGTGAAATGAAAAATGAAAAAACTGCAAGACCTTTGCAATCTTGCTCGTGTAGGCATGGTGTTGATTTTTCCTATAAGTAATACAAAACCAAAACTTAATGTAGTATACTCAAAGTAAATTGGAAAGTACACAACTTAATGTAACTAATCAGGACGACATAACTAATCAGGACGACATCGATCTCATAGATAAAAATTTGGAGACTCGCTCTCACAGGTCTAAGGAACTTATAACACACAAAAAATCAAACTGATAGCATCATGAAATCAAAACAGCACGCATAAGGAAATTAAGTTAGCACAACATGCTCGTAGTTCTACGGAGCTCAAAACACAATTTTCGGATTCTTACCAACAAATAGGAGGTACATAATCACAGTTCAACCATTGACAACATGACAGAAACTCACAGTTTGAAGGAGCATCAAACAGATTCAACCATTGTTAGAAAGCAGGAAACTCACAAATTTAAGGATCAGAAAACACAACAAAATCTTCAATTCATCGTGCAACATTCTACAATTGATGCCACAGTGCTAAATAATACGCAGGACATGGACTTTAAGACAAACATTACTAACAAACTTAACAACAAACAACATGGACAAAACAACTCTCTCATACAGAAAACTCAATCACAATTGGAGGTCAACAAAGTTCAGTAGCAGAACTCAACAAACATGCAGAACCATTCTAAGACATAGGTTAAAGGGAAAAAGCCCAAACAACACCAACAATAGGGAATTATGAATATGAGTAGAGTTGTAATACACTATGGTATTCCACAATAACAGTATAACATTGAAGAATTAAAAGCAAGCATTTCTTGTCGTTTTGTTCCTAAAAAATCGAAATAAAATGAATTACAATGAAAAAATCACAAATTAATGTTGTCAAATATCGGTACTATAGTGTTATAGTGTTTGGGCAAACTGCTATGATACACTATCCACAATTGACAACATTGACACAAATACGATAAATTTAAATATGCTTTCCATGCATACCAATGGAAATACTTTGATATTCTGAAAGTTACATGTAAGAATCTACATAGCACCGACACTTCATATTGAACGCGTGTGTCTAGTGTCACATATGATAAATCCATGCACAACCCTACCGACGTAGATAGAAGCAACCTTATAAAGCCATGCAGTGTAAATTACTACAGGCAGAGAAAATGTATTATCATATACTACCTCCGTCCCTAAATATAAGACCCCTAAAGCTAAATCACGCTAATTAAGAAAGTTGGTTAGAGTATTAAATTTATTGGCAATTTGTACAATTTTACAAATTTATTCTTAGGAGAGAGAAATAATTAATGTTTATACAAGTGTATTTATTACAAATTGAAGAAAAATATGTGATATAATTAGGGTTATGTTTGGAAAAAAGTTATTAATGCACTTTGAAAGTTGAAGGGGATTTTATAAAAAGGAACAAGAAAAAAACTCAAAAGGGTCTTATAATTAGGGACAGAGGTAGTAATATAATTCAAAAAACAAAATTTAATTCTTCATAAAAATGACATTCATTTTGAAAAGAAAAAAGTAGTCTTTGCTAAAGTGATTTAACATGTGAAATGAAAACTCACCACCAGAATTAATATTTGAACACATGGAATCCAAATCTTTTCACCAGAAACGTTTATATATTTGAATTTTGAACACATAAATGTAACAGGCTTTCTCATTGTGCTTAAATAGTCATGCTTGTATACTTGGTTTGATAACATTTAAATGCTAGCCAAAAACGGAAAGTTCAATGTCACTCTAATAGACATAACACTTCACTATCAGATATCAAAACTCAAAAAGTAAAATCCTCTTCCAAGTCAAGGACGGCTAACAACATGTTTTTGACTGGCATATTAATATTAGTAAAAATTTCACCTGATTGTATAATTATATGCAAAATCTAACATCCAAATCTACGGAGACTGATGAATAATTCAATGCGCCTTGATGAAAATCTAGCACTTGGACATTTTGTAAAACATAAGTCATTTTTATACCAATTATCTGGATCTAAGAGTTTGAGTGGCCCTTCAGAAAAACATCTGTTACCTATAGCAGTATGAAACATGTATTCATTAAGACTTAGTTAATCACAAATATAAGATAGTCTGATACAATACCTGAGTACATCACAAATATTATTAGTGGCCACAAGCCTGCAACGAACTAATAATAAGTTTTGGGGGTGAGGTCAGATACAATACCAGAGTACATCCAAAAAGTTTAAGTAGTGTCAGCGCCAAGCAACTGTCCACTATCAAACCTAAAGCGTTGTCGGTCAAATTTCTGCACCAAGATACATCTAGACTATGGAGTTTTTTTGCATGGTTTGCAAGTGATAAGGTTGTATGGTAGCCAACCTGTATTGAATCAAATAATATAGCAGTCGCACAGCAAAAGATGGTTTTAATCTCCTATTAATTGAGTTACAAATTTTCCAATGCCCCAACATTTTTTCTATGCCAAAATACAAATGAAGATGGTTTTGAACAGAACACACATTTTCTAAAGAGCTGTTATTAGATTCCAATCATACAATACTTTGATCAGAACATATATTTTCAACTCACAAAGAAAACCTTTTAAACACACTTATTAAAGAAGCTACCTGGTTAAATTCACTTGCGTTGAATAACTTGTCATGTAAAGTTTGTTGCTAAACGCATCAAGTTGGTTCTAAACAAATTTAAGACAGATTATATAAGATGGTCATAAAGGCATCAAGGTGATTTATAACACTGACATATTCATTGTACTAAAAGATTCATTGTACTAAAATTCAAGAATGATATTTAACTATCAGCAACTTTAAACCACAAATTCATTATACTAAAATTCAAACATATGAACTTTACACTTAAAGTGGTAGTATGTCAAAGTCAACAAGTCCTTGTTACTCAACAGAGGATACAAGTTTCACAAAATCTAAAAAACAAGAATATCACTATTCAGATCATTGTAAACATCACAGTGGATTATTATTCAGATGTACTTGCATAAAAGTACTGTGCTGTCAAAAGTCACGATATCGGATTTATCTTCCAAGAGAACCTCCAGATCAGTCTCTTAGTGACTTTAGCGAATCCAAACTTGCGAGTCCACATTTTCTTCACATTGGTTAGGGAAGCAAGGAGAATAACTTCCACATTGACCTGTTGTAAAAAATCCCTTGGCAACACTTGCAAGGCATAAATGGGAAATCCGTTCAGCTTTGGATGTTGTTGAGATTCTGGGGAGTTCTCAACTGGTACCCCAGATTCTTGGACTTTCCAGTTAAGCCTTTCAAATGTTTAAGAATCCTTGTGCAGTGTTTGTTACAGCAACGGGAGCGGTTCTCCCCCATTTTCAAATGTGAATAGCATTTTCAATCTCAAAATCTTTGGTGGCGGCAGTGTCATCACTTGAATCCATTTTCCCACTTCAACTAATCCCATCAACCCCATTGCTTAATCAGTAAGTTCTTGCTTAATCAGTAAGTTCTTGCTTATCGCTCTCTCTCCCGACACTTCGCGATATCCCATTCCCTATCTTTGCTTAATCAGTAATATCTCATTCCCTATCTTTGCTTAATCACTAAGTTCTTGCTTATCGCTCTCTCTCCCGACACTTCGCGATATCTCATTCCCTATCTTTGCTTAATCACTAAGTTCTTGCTTATCGCTCTCTCTCCCGACACTTCCACTTCGCGATATCCCCTTCTCTCCTGACACTTCACGATATCCCCTTTCCTATCTTTATCTTTGCTTAATCACTAAATTCTTGCTTAAACCCCTAGAAGATTAAGATGAATAGCTCTCTCTCGATACTTCGCGATCTCGGGCTTGCTCCGGTCACTTCCGCCTTTATGGCGGCTATGTCTTGGAGCATAGCCGATAGGGAACGGAATGGTAAGAGACTTGGCAAACCAATGGGGCTGATGAGATTGGTTGAAGGGGAAATAATGGATTCTAAGTGATGAACGAAGTGGAAGAACCGCTCAAATTGCTGTAACAATCTCAACAACATCCAAATCTGATAGACTTGCAAGTGTTGCCACATTCCTGCGTACATGCCAAGGAATTTCCCATGAAGGTTCTCTAGAAAGATAAATCTGATATCTTGACTTTTGACAACTAGAAAGATAAATTTGATATCCTGACACAATACTTTTAGATTTTGTGAAACTTGTATCCTCTCGGTTGAGTAACAAAATCTTGTTTGAATTTTAGTTCGGTTGAGTAACAAAATCTTGTTTGAATCTTGTTTGAATCATGGCTAGGCACAAGATAATTGTTGGTTCTTGTTCTATGCAATGAAAAAGAAGAAGAAGCAATTCGTCGAGAGTTTCGGAACCTGTGTGTATTTCAGTGCGCACAAAAACAGATGCATCGCCTCCGCCGTAGTTGGAGCCACCGGAACGGAATCCGTTGGAGCCGCCAGAAGGAAGCCTGGTGCGTCGCCACCGGAACGATGGTTATTTGATCGGAAGTGTACGGCGGAAGTGACCGATGTGAGTCCGAGATCGCAAAGTGCAGGGAGAGAGCGATTATCTTCTGGGGTTTAAAGCAAAAAACTCAGTGATTAAGGAAAGATGGTTACTATTTAGTATCTATTATCTATCTATAAAAATGATAGTCCCTGTAAATTACCACAACACACAGCTGAAAAAATTCATTGTTGGTCTATTGTATTGGGGTAAAATTGAAAACTCCAAAATATCTTGCACCACATTGTTTTGAATCTGATGTGGCACTCCCACAATTTTTCACCACATTTTCAATTTTTTTTTCCAAATAAATCCATGCCAAACCATTATGCCTCTCTTCCTCTTCCCCATGCCAAACCATTATGTCTTGTCATTCATTGTGCCTCTCTTCCTCTTCCCCATGTCAAACCATTATACCTCTCTTAATCAGAATTCAAATTCAAATGGAACACCAAAAGTTTTTCACTCTTCCTTCAATCCTTCCCCAATGTGTACTTATGTATAACCTCCATTGCTTAACACCTTCCAGTCGTTTTCATTCACGCAAGCCATTGCTACAGACGTCCCTTTCGTTTTCATTCACGCAAGGCTCTCTGCGCTGTTACGAATCGCTGCGTGACGATGGCGCGCCCAATCGAGTATATCAGTAGCATTGACGATTCGAAGGATTTGTGGAAGGTTGCTGTTAGATGTAAGCATTTGTGGTCTGTTACCAGTTCTCAGAATAGAGAGCACTTAGAGCTTATTCTTTTGATTCAAAGGTATAATACAATCTAAACGTTTCTGCTTTGCCATTCTGATTTTGTTGTAACAGTACTGGTATATGATACTGATTTCAAGATGTTTGTATTTTCACAGTTGGATTTGATTCAAGCCATTGTGCCATCTTATTTGGTATCAAAATTCAAAACACAGCTTGAACTTGGTTGTTCCTACATAATGCAGAATTTCAAAGTTTCCAGCAATGATTTCTCCTTCAAATCCACTGATCATAAGTTCAAATTGATTTTTTGTGGTTCAACTTCCGTCAAAAAGGTCCAAGTTGCTGACATACCTCTGAACCACCTCAAGTTAATTGGAATAAATGTTATTATTGAGGGTAAATACAGAACGAATTTGTTATATGGTGAGTTACATTTTTACTGTTATAATAGAACGCATTGTATTGTGACTTCTCCGTTATACATAACTGTCTGTGGTGAACTTTTGTGCAGATATAATTGGTGGGGTTACTGAAATATCCCAAGCCCAGATAATTCCTGATAACAACAAAAGTAAGGTTGTGTTTTCATTAACTGATCTGAGGTAGGTGTTTCATTTTGTTTGTTAACATTGATGCTGATAAATATAAAAGTCTAACATGTTCATGTTGTTTGTTTTGTAATTCCTGTCAATCAACAAACATCATGTGCAATGTACTCTTTGGGGTAAATTAGCTGTGCAACTGAATGAGTATTATACGACTCATAAGGCTGATGGTAGTATTGTTCTCCTACTTATGAATGCAGGGATCAAGGAACCTCAAGGTATGCTATGTGACTATTTCTTATTATATCCAATTATTATATCCAACTTTAAGTGTTGTCATTTATAAATATCTCAATTTTCAGGAAATTATCCTTTAAATGTATCAAATGCTTGGAACGGCACAAAACTGCTCATCAATGATTTGTCTATTGAGGAGGTTAAAAACCTTAAAGAGAAGTAAGTGATTTTATTATGAAGTTATGAATTAGCAACCTATGATTACTAACAGCCTGTTTTCATTCTGATCTATGTACATCAGACTTAAAGATGATCTGCCGACGCTCTCATCCTCGAGCATGCAAATGGAAACCACAAATACCTCTGTTTTTTCTGATTTGGACAAATTTGTATGGAAAGCTGAAGTGTTGAGTCTGTCTGATATTGCATATCTGCAGACTGTAAGTTGCTCTTTAATACATGATTGTCTTAGATTGAGGAATTACACAGACTGGGTTCTAATCCATTTTTTGAGACATCATCCCATCTTTCTGTTTCAGGAAACTACATGTGTGACTGTTGCGACTCTGGAGAAGTTTGAATGTGGGCAGTCAGGATGGTATTATGATGGATGTAGTGAATGTACCAAAAGTGTGACTTTGAAGGATAGAAAATTCATGTGTTATTCCAAACACATCAGTTCTGAGCCAGTCCCAAGGTAACTTCTAAGTATTGCATATCAATGATTATCATCATATAACCAAACGCTTCATTACTGACAATTTCTTATTTTGATCACGCATGGTACAGGTTTAAGCTTGAAGTGCTTGCCTCTGATGGAAAGTTAAAATACAAGTTCGTATTTTGGGATGTAGATTGTGTAAAGTTGATTGGGAAGTCCGCCCTTCAGATGAAGTTGGATTTGATGGAGGTATTATCCATTTGGCTAATATGTAAGTTAGATAATTACCACATAAATAACATATATTGTTTTAATCATTTAGACTGGAGATTTTGATCCCCTTGAATTCCCTTATGAACTTGATGTGATGCTGAAGAAGGAGTTGGCTATAAGAGCAGTGTTTCAACCAAACAAGGCCAGTCTTTCTGTAATCGGATTTAAGGCAGATGAAGTGCTACGTACCAAAATAAAGGAGAGGTTTAAATGTGAAGAGGTACTGTTGTACTCATGTTTTACTGTTGTTAAAATCAGTATCATGTGCATTGGATTTTTTTAACAATTGTTTAAAACTTGCAGCACACTTCAAAGATTGTCGTCTCAACAGATGACACTCGGGATGATATGCATACAGCATCTGTATGTTTTAAATAGGAACGACTTATTACTCTTGCCATCACATTTTGAACAATTGCCTAACGTTTATTTCTTGCGTTTTTTAACTTGCAGTGTACTCCGACCATCAGCACCTCGGAAAAACAGTCTCATGATGATCCACAAACAGTTTCAGTGCGTCTTTTTTTAGCTTTCAACATTAACAAATTAGCCTATTAAACAATGTCTTACTTCCTTTTTTATGCTACTGATTTTGTAATGACTCTTTAATGGCAGGATCCGTTATCAATCACTGCAGATTATGACCCTTCAGTTGCCAACTCTGCACTTACACCGTCAAAAAGATCTATTCCTGAGACAGTTGAAGAACTCAACAGTGCCCAACTATCGTCCACCAAGATAATAAGGGACATCAAGCTGGAGAAATGATGCAGTCAATTATCGTCGACGATTTATTTTTACTTTAAGCTGTTTTGGACAACATTGCACACCTTATTTTGATTGATGTAATGAAATATTTCTGGTTTACATTTTGTTTATTCTGGTTTATGAGGATTTGATTTGTCATTCTTGCTTTTTGTTTGATCCTTTTGACATTGTATATGAAAGAATGATATGATTTTAGTCATTTAAGCTGCAAAAAACTATGTATAATTTACACTGCAAAAAGCAATATGATGTTGGTAATTCCTTATTTTGTTTAATATAATAAACTTATTCTGGACAAAAATGTTTCTCTTTATGTCTTGATGCTGGACAATCCATATTGTTTTGAATACTTTATGCATAATACACGGTAGTATATCAGCATATTGTACATTAATCTAAAAAACTAATACATGAATAACAGATTATGCATAGCAGAAATCCACGACAGTTGATTAATATAAATTGTTACCGAATAATACCGGAAATGATATGCAATTATCTCATCAACGCAAGATATGGAACTAATTTCGTATCATCCCATTTAACAAATCATAAGCAGATTGTACATTGAGCCGTAGCGCAACAATATCAAATAACAAAACTAATAACAAAGACAAATGGGCATCAAATAGATTTTCAAAACAAATAGTTATGCATTTCCGCCCATACAAAAATAATCCCTCCTTTTTGCCATGATGCTTCCCATGTAATCCAATCAACAACTCCTTTCAATGCTGCCCTCTCTCAACTTTGACCAATATACGTTCCACAGGAGGATGCTCTACACTGAATAAGAGAACGTCACCTTTCGACAGCTCTTTGTCCTTTGCAAATTTTAACCAGCCCCTTGACAGAAACTTCTCGGTGATGTTCTCCCTGGATTTGAAAACACATTGGTACGTAATACCAGAGTCTGTGTCATGAAGATCAATATATGATCTTGGTTCCATGAAGATTTCCTTGATGACTGCTGCTGGAAAGTGCTGCAACATTAAAACTTTATTAGCTATGTCTATTCATTCAATGTTATGCATCCTTATGAACTGTAACAGCAAACAGATCAAGAGCTTACAAGAACTTGATTTTTTATCTGGCTGCTGCTCTTAACAACTTTCTGCCATCTGCAAACAAGTTTCTCTTGCATGGCAGGAGGTTGTACAACATCAGCAGCATCAGTAGTGTTGTTCTCCTCGCTGCATTAACAAACACGATTATTTAAACTACTAATTTGCAAAGTTAAATATTCAAATGTATATATGTAACCTATAAGCCCTTGCCTGTCCAACACATCGCCCGCTGATTCCATTGCTTCATCAGTGGAATTCTGTTCAGGCTCATCGTCTGATATGTCAACAAGCCATCCTTCCTCTCTGGCTATTTCAAAGTACTTTTCCACTGATAGACAACTTCTCACCTTTCCTGTTCTCAGTTCGTACGATTCCTCTCTTTCGACATACTCAAAGTATTTGTCCATAAGTTCAGCACGTGTAAAATTTATGCAACTCCTGCTGCTTA